GAGACCGTTCCTCTGGGGAAGCCTCGTGACCGGCGTCTTTGGCTATCTGCTCTGCGTCGCAGGCCTGCTAAGCATCAAAGTGACATCGCCCATAACACACATGTTTAGCTCGGTATGCTTGACATCCTCCCCAGGAAACCCCGGCTAACCCTAGAAAAGGCTGTGCGCTCCGTCCTCCAGGTACTGCTAGGCATCTGGATCTTTGGCGATATTTTGACCGTGTGAGCCGCGCCTGTCCATACGTCCCACCCTGTCACATACTCATATCGCGTGACAGCAACCGTCTGCTCTCGATCGGCACCATCCTGTGCGTTCCCCTGTTGTCTCAGGGCGTTCATAGCCCAGGACCCTCGCTGACGTCGACCCGGTTTTAACACAGGCTTGGCACGATGTACTATACGTGGATCAAGAGCCAGGAGATGGCCAAGCCTAGGCAGGCCAAAAAGCCGACGGATGAGGAGAAAGGAGAGGTTCAGGTGATGCTGGAGGAACAGGAGGAAAAACAGGCGGATGAGGAGAAAAGGTAAACGTGACATTGGACACTGGCTTTGGCACTTTAAGATAGACGTGCAAGGACTTGACATGCTCGGGCTGTGCCTTCTAGGGTAGTACGGATAGCAACCCGATAGGGGTGCAAGACTAGTGCCGATAGGTGGGACCTCCGTGAGAATGAATTCTGACGATGGCAACATATTATTTCCAAAGCGGAAAACTGGTGGAGTACCAAGCATTCATGCCACATGCCATGCATGCTTTCAATACCAGGCCTCAGGACATTACGATTCCCAAACAGAGCTCTGTGGACTGAAAGGGCCGAACGACACGGAACTGGGCACACTGGAATGCAAAGTCCATTCTGGATGAGAGTCAAACAGTAACAAAGCAAGAGTACGACGTGACCGCCGACCCCACCGGTATGTACGGCGCGTGTCACGAGCCGGCGGCAAGAAGTTCCTCCGCGTGGGTGTCCGATGTTGCACGGCTCGGCGCTCTTGGGCGCTCTTCAGTACCCCATGCATAACATGCTATCGATGGTTAATATTGGCACTGAATGACTAGGTACGCTTCTCAAAATAGGACGACGACTTACAAATGATCGGCAGCAGCGGCACCGATAGCGTCGGCTTACTCAGTGAGAAGGCGCAATCGTACTCAATTGGGACTGTATGCGTGCAGCTTGCTTAACCTATCAAGTCGGGATCGAGTTTCGCAACCGACAGGTGACCCTGCGACAACTGTTACTTCCATTCGCACTGCACTGGCACCATCTGCCTGCTTGGAATGCATGTTCGTCTTGTGGAATCGGCAGCCTACCAGAATGGGTTGGCACCGGGATGGAATGGGTCGTGGCAGCCCGTGCTTGGCTGAGCTGGCACCACCTACCCTCACTTTCGCCCCCTCCGACCGAACGGACCTCGGCTTCAATCCGTCTCATGGCCTCATGCTCCAATTTCATCGAACCGGCGGAAGGCTAGCACTACTGTTATTGTTGTCTTCTTCCCGTTTGGTCATCTGTGGATCTGTCTGAGCCGCATCCCCCGTGACAGCCGAGAATCTGGGCTTTCTGCGCCTGACGTGCTGGGCGCTGATGGTGTCTTTTCGTTCAGTAAGGGTAGAACAGGACGGCCCGTTCCCTTGTCGGTCTCGTCCGGGATGGGAGGGTCCTCTTCTCTGCCTACCCTGTACCAACCCCAAGGCCGCAAGAACTCATACCGTGGATGTCGGGCTGTGCTGAACATTCGGCCAGTCTAACGGGTTGGACTGTGCGATATAGTCATGCGAGTGACTTGATCACATCCTGTCTCTTTTCTATCGAGTCGCCCATTTCGTGGTTCCCGCTCTCTATCAGTCTCCGATTACCGCTGTTTGGGAAGGAAACTCTCAACATCAGGGCGAGCGAAGAGTGGCCAACCGGACGGACCCGTACAACAAAGTTCACCTCATCCTCGGTGGAATCATAAAGACCTCCCTGCTCGGTCTATCCTCAGCGTTCGGTCCAGCTTCTTATCGTGCACAAGTCATACCACGGATTTCTCAAAGAACATTGTTGGTTCAGAAAACACACCCAAGATGATTGACGTCGCACTCGCCAACGCCCACGGCAAGCAAGGGCATCTCCCGTCGCCGCCTTACACTACTCCCCACTCTCGGACGAACAGCATGGACTGTGCTCTTGCTACCGAGCCTGCTGTGCAAACGATGGACAAGCACCATGAATTGAAGACGATGTTGCCGACTCCGCCGCAGACGCCGACTCGGCTCCCGGGGACGGTCTGGCAACGGAAATTGGGGGATACAGAGCTGAGCTACTTCCTTCCGAGTAGGACGGAGGGAGTGAACGATATGTGTGTTTCTTTATCACCATTGTTGTGTTGCGTGCTAAGGAAGCTCAGGTATCTGTGTATCGATTTCACTGCACCGCGAGACTTGGTGACCGACGAACGCGTGCTTGCCATCTGGGCGATACTCAGGACTAAACATCCCCTGCTCGCCGCCGAGGTGTGTATGCAAGAGGGCGAATACGACAGCGCGTCTTTCCGCTATGTTGCAGCTCAGGATGCGCATGAGGAACTAGCGCGCGCGAGGGAGAATCTGAGAATCAGTGTGCAGACGAAGGAAGGTGAGCGATCCGTTTGAGGTCATCCAGGATGGTGCTTGCTAACGCATCCCAAGAGGTGATCCTCGACTACTTGAACGGACCAAGGCTTTTGTCAAAGGAACAACCTGCCTATCTACTCTTCGTGCGCGACCCAGAGAGTTTCCCTCCCATAACATCAAGAGTTCTGCCAACTCCCGATGCCTCTCCTCGTCCCGAGGGGCAGCGCGATTTGGAACAAGCCGAGTTCCACTTTTGTCTGTGCACCACGCATTATCTAGGAGATGGGATGGCGCTGCACAAGACTGCCAACGAGTTCTTTTCCTTGCTCGGCGAGGGGATGTGCGATGCAGAGCTGTTCAAGCTCTTGGATCATGAGTGGACTGAGCGGTACAGCACAACAGAGGATCATAGAGACAGCCCAATCCCCCAACCGCTCGAGGAAAAGTTACCCCCTCTCCCTGCTCAGTCCTTCGCACGCTACGCTGCACGTGTGGATTACGAAAACTTGCAGCGGAAGACGATCGGTGGACATGTCATGCCCCGGAAGAAGCACGGACCAAGGAGGACGACCGTTCCGACTGTCCCGTTCTCAGCTGAAGAGACAGGTCGTGCGCTCAAGAAGTGCAAAAAGAACGGAGTGACAATCAGCCACGCAATATTCGCCTTGTGCAATATGGTTTGGCTTGGCATCAAACCGGCGGGTGGAGAAGACCTTCCCACGTACGTACCATTGTTGTTGACGGCGATTGGTATTGACTGCCTTTAGTATGATGTATGCTGCTGCGAACCTTCGCTCGTACTTCTCCTCCATCGAGGAGTCACACTTCTATCTCGCCGTCACATATTTCAACATCATGCTTCCCTCTTTCATTCCACGCGACTTGACGCCAACTCAGACTCTATGGCTCCGCTCACAAAGCGTGAAACGGCAGATGAATGCGGTTGTGGGAAGCAAGATGTACGTCAGCCGAGCAAGGATCACAGCTTCTCAGCGAGCCTCACAGGCGAAGACGTGGGCTGCGGAAGATGATGCACGAGACGCCGGAGAGTCGCTACCTCCTTCCCCACCTCCGACTAGGCCCGCACATGCCCCGCCAAAGGTACCCAGTAATGCCCTGATAGGATTGTCGATGCTCGGCAATCTTGATGCGATATACGCGCACAAAGCCTTCCCAGATTTGCAACTGCATGGTCTCACCACAGGCTCCCGTCAACGCGGAGGGGCGATGCTTCTCTTTGCGTACACGTTTGCTGGGAAGCTCTGGCTCAGCTTGGGATATGACGAGAATGGGTTCGAGCGGGTGATCGTGCAGAAATTCTGGCAAGGACTTCTGGACAGTGTAAGAGAAAACCTACTTTGACTGTAACGGGAAAAACGCGAGCAGGGGATGTTGTGTAAACGGACTACAAAATGTTTCTCCAAATTGGGACTTTTGTCTGAGTATCTGGACTTTTCCCCGTGTATCCGGAATGAATGATACTGTAGTTCATGAAAGTGTTAATCAATAACGTATCAATGAATATCGTGCGGTTACACATCCAGAGATCATATTCCGGTCTTACTTGCATGCGGAGCACAGGAATGCACTTGGTCTTTGTTGAAACAACCGGTTAACGGTGGTTTGTTGGCACCCAAAGACAGCGTGCATTATAGTAGGTAAGTTGAATTACATTCTACATGGGGGATAGGATACTATGTATACAAGCAATCAATGATGATACAGGGTAGAGTAGCGAGGATTCAGCGGCGCACCGGTGACAATCGTCGACGCAACACTTGACGACACAAGATCTCTACAAGAACATGATGAAGAGTACACTAACAACACCGAGGAAGCTGCTTGATCTCGCCAGGATGGTCTCCGCGCTGGACTGCTGCTGGGGTGTAGACGCGGCGGCGAACGGCGAAGTTGGTAAAGCAGTTGGTGGACTTGTAGTGTCTGGACCATCTGATTCAAACGCATGTGTTGTGCGCGTTGTGGGAAAGATAGTCTCGTATATGGTCGTCGTGCTGAACGTCGTCGGGTCATACGTGTATGACTCCGAAACAACGTACATCGTGGTGGCGCGAATGCTGTAGGAGGTACTCGTTGAGGGCGATGTGGAGAACGAGGTTGAATCGGATTGGCTACGACGTCGTAAGTAAGAAAGCGCTCTTCAGAAATGTGAAAGGTGCGGACTCAGATGTGTAATCGACCCTCGCAGCGCACGCTAGGGTCAACGCAAGAAAGAAAGCAAGTCCACGGCGCAGACAAAGGACAACCATCTTGATTCGAGCGGTGTTGGCGGCGGGACAGGGGGCAGAGTCGTCGGATGTGACAGAAGTCGTTCACATCTATTTCTCCCGGTGTTATAAGCCACAAAATGCAAGGAATCTGGCTGGGAAGCCAGCTATCCCGGTGCAATGGATACCGCCAACATCGCGAACAGTGAACGAGGCTGATTGTCATTCCTGCTCCCTCCGAGTTGCAATCCCAAGCCACACCAGGCCGGTAATGGCCCTTGCTTCTGACCATTTGGAAACTCCATATACGCGGGAAGTAGGTGTATCCCCAGTCGTCGATACGTAAAGGATCGGTTTGAGGCAAAGATACGAGGTCGGGATGTGTGGTCGGGATGCGTGGTCGGGAGCAAAGCTCATTGAGTTGCCTCAGAAGCGCCCAAAAGCTGGAGCGCCCACGAACCCTGACCACAATGCTAGCTCACTTTAGCCCCACATCCAAGCCTAAAGACGATTGATTCTCTCGATTAACACGTACCAGGGGTTATGTCCAAACAGCCGCTCCACAACCAAGCAAGCCCTTAGAGGTACCGATGCTTCGGAGGCAGTGCGTCTTCATCTGTTCGAATTTGTACATCCCGACCAGAAAGTGGGGGTACGTCTGCCAGCAAAAGACGCCGATAGCCAGCATTCACGGTTTCCGAGTGCAACTCACCGATGTCTGGAAGGACACAGGGTCTGTACCCCTTGTGCCTCGATGGCCCCATCTATGGAACCTGGGTTTGGAGACCAATACGGAAAGGACAGACGTCTCGCCAATTCGGTTCGGTTCTCGAGTATCAGGTGGATCCTATTGATCAGAAGGTCACTAGAAGAAAACTCTGCCTTGAGCCGAGGAAGGCAGCATCAGCTCGCTTGCGGACGCAGTCGAATACAGCCTTCGGTTTGGTGTACAATGTCAATTTCACAGATATGCATACGTACAACACGAGTACTCGAGAAGATCGATTTGCGTATTCGGGATCATAGCAGACAACAGAGGATGACACCAAGCAGGCCAAACAGGCCCATACTTCCAACCTCGAGGGGCAGCGCACCCGAGCTTGCGCTCGCGCTCATAGTAGCACTCGATGTAGTGTTAGTGCCGGACGCTGAGGTGACGGATGAGGAGGAAGACAGGGTGGAGACGCTCGACCCGCTCGAGGAGGGGGACGTACTCGAGCTTCCGTTGGGAGAACCAGCGGTAGGGGAGATCGGTCCGCCTGGGTTGGTGCTCAGAGGGCTGCTCCCGGGGGATGTCATAGGCCCGACCGGACTGACCGGGATCCGGATGCTCTCGGTCGACGTCGTTCTCCCCACGCTCGAGCTGCCCCTGTTCCATAGAACACATTAGTCACTAAGACCAAAAGCGGGGAGTAAGACGGCGCACGGGAAAGGCGAAAACGTGAGGGGGGGTTGTGGCCGTAACGGGGAGATTGTGCCTGTTGCTGTCTCCGTCGACCCACCTTGTGCTAGGACAAGCACGGTGAGGTAAGCCATGAGGACGAGGGCAGGGAGGCGTGAGGCGAACATGGCCGACCAGGATGTGGAGTCGAACTTCCAATGACGGTAATAGGATTGTGTGTGATGAATGATGGCTGCGATGAGCAAGTTGCCAGCGATGAGGACTGCGCTCACTACAAGAGGACCGCGCTCACTACAAGCGGATTGTGGTTGCTCGCTACCTTTGCTTGAGGGTCCGAGTGAGGGCGTAGATATATGCGCACACAAGCGATAAGTATTGATCAAGTAGGCATGTGGTGCATGTGGATCATTGGTAACGAGCACAAGACGGTGAGAAGCGGGAGAACGATGATGAATGGCGGTGAAGGTGACAGAGCAACGAGGGCACGACGTTGCGGGGACAGCGATGAAGAAGCAGAACAGAAATAGATAGAAATAACGTCTTTGTATCCACTACAAATATCACATATACTCCAATATCATCACAGAAATCTTACACCTTCAGCAGGCATAATCCTCAGGCACAACGCTGAGTACAACAATTTAATCTTCGACTGATTAATTTCATCGTGGGTAGAACGGCGGATAGAAAGGGAACGGGTGAGGGCGAGGGTACGGGTGGTAAGGGTAGGCAACAGCGGAGAACGGTACAGCAGGTGGATGAACAGCCTGGAGACCTGGTTTTCCCCGCTGTGCCTGGCGTTAGCTAGCAACAGCGGTAACGATTGCTGCTGCCTTGGCCTTCGACGACTTCCTCCTCTTAGGGGAGGTCATCAGCTCCGTGCCATTATGCGGGCTTGCGTGGGAGGAGGCCACGTCCTGTGAATTGCGGCGAGGTGTGGATGAACTGGGATCGGCCGCAGGGGGTGGAGCAACAGCATATACAGGGGTGTAGGACGGAGTCGTGGTGCCATCTGAGGGGGCAGGGGTATACGTGCTAAGCCAGTTGTTAGTATACGACCAGTTGTGTAGATATGCAGATAGACTTACGCATAGGTTGTTCCAAAGAATGGGTAGGGATACGGAACGGCAGCAGGAGGTGCAGCACCGACGGGCGCGGGAGTGCCGTCTGGCTGAACCGCCTGGACCGCCTGGGGAATATAGTAGGAGTACGTTGGCTGCATCCTACCATCTGGATTCAGCATGGTCGCAATTTAAACCAGCTAATCCAGCGTACCCAGTGGCGTAATATGTAACTCCTCCGGGAACGACGTTGGCTTCGGGAGTGGAAACAGTGTGGGAACCTGTTGGATATCCCGCCTCGTGCACTGCGTTTGCGTCAGTGACAGAGAACACGCAGAAAGGACTGCAGCTGACTCTTCTGATCTCTCTTCTTGTACGGCCCCCGCTTGACACCCTTCTTCCTCTCCTTCCTCTGGCTGTCCTGACATTGGTTACCAATGCCGTACTTGACACAGCGCACACACGGTCGACAGTCATCGCACTTCTTGCACGCTCGTTGGCAGTTCGTGCAGGCATTCTTGACTTGGTTGCGCTTGTTCTTCTGGTCGTTCGTGGGCTGGGACGGGATGGCAGGTGGGATGTAGTGCGGCATCGCAGGGTACATGGGTACAATCGGCGGACCACCTGGTATCGCATTGCCGTAGAAAGGTATAGTGGGAACCGCAGCGTAACTGTATGTGGGAGCGACCATCGGAGGCATCGCAGTGGTGGATGGTGGTCCAGGAGGGTTGTGAACGACGACGTTCATCCCGTCCAGGGATGTCCCACTCGCGTGTCGGGAATGTCCAGATGAGGTTCCTTCGTCCTGGCTACTTTCTTCCTGACCATCTTGTGCACCAACACCCTGATTGACGAAATAGAAAGATGGTTGTTGAGGCTGAGCGACGCCCGGAGAGAATGGAACGTATGTGGTGTTATGAACGCTGGCTATCGGTGACGGTGTTGAGGCAGGTAATTGTTGAGGTTGATGTTGCACTACAGGTGAAGGTATATTTGCGTTGCCGTTGTTCGAGGAGCGGGAATGATTACGGTTATGACCGGCGCTCAAAGGGGACGATGCGGGGTTGGGTGGCGCACGAGAGGCTTTAGACGGGGTTTGAACTGAGCGTGAAGGAGAAGCGTCCGCCATTGCCGGCATATTCGGCTCTTGTTGTCGTACTCCGTTTCTTCCTATGAATGTGTACATTTCTCTGGGCTCGACAACGTCCAGATTATTGATGGTCGATGTTGTCTACGGGGTGCTCAACGACGTCGACGACGAGCACGGAGAGGGGCCTCGAGAGGGGACGTCGGAGTCAAAACTATTTGAAGCGGCATTCAAACCGTGTGACGGGACCTTTATAACTGGTTGACTGCCCCCCTCTCTTCGGGGTCTTTTGCTTCAACTAAGGCACACGTGCGCACTGATGAACATACGATAACGTATATATTTACCGATATCAATAGCGGAATATTGTTAAGAAATTGATGTGTTTGGTCAACGGGGATTTACTGTTGATGGCGGTGTGAACAATCTAAGAGTCGGAGAATGGAATGCATAAAGAGATCACAAAACGAACTCACAACTCGGCCGGCTTGACCGGGAGCAGAAGAGATTTGAGTGTATGGGCCAAAGGGACGCGCTCATATGCGCCCACAGCGACGATGCTCCCCATCGCTCGAATATCCTCTCGACCGGCATGCTCACGGGCAGTATACTTGCAAAGGCGAACTCCGGTGATACGTCGCACCTTCCTGGGCTGGCTCAAATCGAAAACAAAAGCGGCACCGGCTCCACCAAAACCCCTCCTTGAGCAGGATGATCTTTTCCACCCCTTCACAACATCCCCCATCCCTTCAATACGGGACAGAGCCAAGGTGATCAAATCGATGGCGCCATGCCCGGTATGCTTGGAAATCAATGGTCAGAACAAGACAGTTACCTACGATTGTCTCGACTGCGGCTGGCCGACACATTGCTCGGAGGAGCATCATGCCCAGGACTTAGACCATGCCAAGTACTGCGGGCGGCTGAGGGAGGTGAACGAAGACGAGCATGATCTTCGGAGTGGAAGGCAGATGTGGGAGTTTGAACTGCCAGGTGCGTATGCCAATGAATGCTCCCATCAGTAGTGATTTACCGTATACCAGGCGAGCAAAGCTACGAAGAGGCAATTTCATTCGCCAATTGGGATTTGCTCTGGTATACGAGAGGCTTCCCCTCGATAGATACAGACCGGTCAAGACGACATCTGAGCAAGTTGCTTACATATCCTATGACAATCGCTGGCATCCTACACCAATACAGTGGGTTCACAACACGGAACCAGCGTTTAACACCGGAAGGAGCTCGATCGATGGCCGGTTCGTCCCATCTCTCTCTTCAATCTGATCTCTTACTCAATGTAATTTGCATAGCTCTCCGTTCCGTCCTGTTTTCGGATGCGGCCATCTCTTCGCGAGAAAATCCTCTGGCGTTGCAGGACACGGTCCGGGTATTTATGGTCGGTGCACGTGCCGAGTCGTCCCTACCACCCCACGTATGGGAGGAGCTCAACCATTGTTTCCCAAACGTCAACATTCACTTGCATTTCATCGGTCCTCAAGCGGCTCTCCCAGCTGCGCCTTCTTCCGACTCATCAAAGCCAACTGATGCTACGACGACAGCCGAACAAGCTAAGTCAGCAGAACCTGCCCCTGTCGAAACCAAAACTGCGGCGTCGACTCCAGTGCCCACCGAACACCCTGCGGCGGAGTCAGGAGCAGAGGGAGAATCGTCCCCATTAGCCATCTGGATGCCCGCCACTCCCGTGATCTCCAAGCCTGGTATGCGGAGCCGTGATGAGCTCGCTAAATGGGGCGTACCATCTTACACCGATCCGAGGAACAAACATATGACGCTCACATCTATCCGATCCCGGTACGAGGAGATGCATGAACAGTTTGGGCCGTTCGACCCGTACACAGACGTGTTCTTCTTCTTCTGCCCCGGCTTTGGTTTCCCGTCGCCGACTCATCCCGAGCTGCTGCAAATCGAGTCTCCAGACGAATGGGCTGGTGTGCTGCAAGAGCTGCTCCCGACCAAATGCGCCATTTTTGTGACGGGATTCTCGCCCACTGATGTCGAGCGTGACGTGAAGAGCCTGGACGGCGTGGCTGGAGTGGAGGGTGAGTTTGACTGGATTCTGACACCGGGAAACAATCCCTTCGGCAGCGAGAAATGGGATGTGGCGGATTTTGATCCCCGGGTTATGATTCGGCCCAATTGGGGAGTGTGGGGCATCCGTGGGAAACAGAGGGAGATCCAGCGCAGGCATGTTGAGGAATTCGCAGGGTAAAACGGTGGCGGTCAGTTCATGAGCATGTAGCATTTTCAAAGTAGTTTTGACCACCACTCCTCGCATTGCAAGACTAACAATAATGACAATCTGGTTTCTACAATGAACTGGTATGACCGAGAGAGAACCCGAGAAGAGTAGACGCGCGTAGACAATGCTGCAAAGGTCTGGTTGAAGATGGAAGCTGCTAGCATTCCTAAAAAGGGAAATAGTCCCGTGAGTCCAGGTCAAAGCGTCCTTCGATGCCATTCTCGAACAAATATTGCTTCCGTCTTCAAAGGCGTTTAAAAGGGCTGGCGCACTCCGCAATCAAACGGCACTTCTCACTTTTCTTCCCCCCAACTTCACCTCTACCGTATACCACCACTTTCAAACTTCAATCATGACTTCAAAAGCCATCGGCATTGACCTCGGTACAACTTACTCCTGCGTAGGAGTATGGCAAAACGACCGGGTCGAAATCATCGCCAACGACCAGGGCAACCGCACCACCCCTTCCTATGTCTCGTTCTCTGACACTGAGCGTCTCATCGGAGATGCCGCCAAGAACCAGGTCGCGATGAACCCCCACAACACTGTCTTCGATGCTAAGCGTCTCATTGGTCGCAAGTTCGACGATGCTGAGGTGCAGGCCGATCTTAAGCACTTCCCGTTCAAGGTCATCAGCGTGGGCGGGAAGCCTATCGTACAGGTCGAGTTCCGTGGCGAGACGAAGACTTTCTCCCCCGAGGAAATCTCCTCCATGGTTCTCCTGAAGATGAAGGAGACCGCGGAATCTTACCTCGGCCAGACCATCACCAACGCCGTCGTCACTGTTCCTGCTTACTTCAACGACTCGCAGCGTCAAGCCACCAAGGATGCTGGTGTCATCTCGGGCTTGAACGTGCTCCGTATCATCAACGAGCCCACCGCTGCTGCTATCGCCTACGGTCTCGACAAGAAGACCCAGGGTGAACGTAACGTGCTCATTTTCGATCTCGGCGGAGGAACTTTCGATGTGTCCTTGTTGACGATTGAGGAGGGTATCTTCGAAGTGAAGGCCACCGCCGGTGACACCCATCTTGGTGGTGAAGATTTTGATAACCGCCTGGTGAACCACTTTGTCCAAGAGTTCAAGCGCAAGTACAAGAAGGATCTGTCCTCAAACGCCCGTTCCCTCCGTCGTCTCCGTACCGCTTGCGAGCGTGCGAAGCGTACTCTGTCTTCCGCCGCTCAAACCTCCATCGAAATCGACTCACTGTTCGAGGGTATCGACTTCTACACCTCCATCACCCGCGCCCGTTTCGAGGAGCTTTGCCAGGATCTCTTCCGTTCCACTCTTGAGCCGGTCGAGAAGGTGTTGCGTGACTCGAAGATCGACAAGGCCAATGTGCACGAAATCGTGCTCGTTGGTGGCTCCACCCGCATTCCTCGTATTATCAAGCTTGTGTCTGACTTCTTCAACGGCAAGGAGCCCAACAAGAGCATCAACCCCGATGAGGCCGTTGCCTATGGTGCCGCCGTCCAAGCCGCTATCCTGTCCGGTGACACTTCGGAGAAGACTCAAGATCTTCTGCTTCTCGATGTTTCCCCTCTCTCCCTCGGTATCGAAACTGCTGGTGGTGTCATGACCCCTCTGATTAAGAGGAACACGACCGTGCCCACCAAAAAGTCCGAGATCTTCTCCACGTACGCCGACAACCAGCCCGGTGTGCTCATTCAGGTCTACGAGGGTGAGCGTGCACGCACGAAGGACAACAACTTGCTGGGCAAGTTCGAGCTGTCGGGCATTCCTCCTGCACCCCGTGGTGTTCCCCAAATTGAAGTCACCTTCGATATCGATGCCAACGGTATCCTTAACGTCTCTGCCTCCGACAAGACGACCGGCAAGTCGAACCGCATCACCATCACGAACGACAAGGGCCGTCTCTCGAAGGAGGAGATCGAGCGCATGGTTGCGGATGCTGAGAAGTACAAGGCGGAGGATGAGGCTGCCGCCTTGCGCATCAGCGCCAAGAACGGCCTCGAGTCGTACGCATACAACCTGCGCAACTCGCTGACAGACGACAAGCTTGCCAGCAAGTTCGACGCTGGGGACAAGGCGAAGTTGCAGGAGGCGGTCGACGAGTGCATCAAGTGGCTCGACGCTTCCCAGGAGGGCTCCAAAGAGGAGTACGAGGAGAGGCAGAAGGACCTCGAGACCATCGCCAACCCCATCATGCAGAGGTTATATGCCCAAGCCGGTGGTGCACCAGGAGGCGCACCCGGCGGCTTCCCTGGCGCCGGCGCCGGCCCAGGAGGTGCACCCGGTGGGTTCGCCGATGAGCCGAGCGTCGAGGAGGTGGACTAAACGCAATGTAATGACTGTGGGCACATGTGTAGCTTAGTTTACTTTCATTCTTTTTCATGATTAGATCGGAATGCAATGAATGCCGAACCAATATTAGGCGTGAATGGGTGTAATATCTGAAAATGTGATCTTGCACATGAGTCTGTTAAACAAAGGCACCAGTTGATTCTTCCTTCTGTACTACTACATGTTCTTTAATGCGTTCTACAACAATCCCCTTAGCCACGTCCTACAGTCTTCAGTTGATCTTGAGCAGTTCGACCTCAAACTTGAGGGTCGCATTCGCGGGAATCACAGGGGGGAAACCGCGGCTGCCATACGCCTTGTCGAACCCCATCAGTATCTCTAGAATTACTCTAAGCCCAGGCAGGAGAGATTACTCACATAGTCAGGCGTGGCCGTCAGGACCGCCTTCTGGCCAATCGACAGCTGGGGCACGCCCTCATCCCAGCCTTTGATGACCTTCCCGACGCCAATCTGGGTGACAAACGGTTTGCCGCGGTCGCGGGACGAATCGAATTTCGAGCCGTCGAGGAGAGTGCCTGTGTGCAAATGGTGAACTGGTGTGAAAAGGGTTGATTGTGCAGAGGACGTACCAACGTAGTGGATCGTCACACTAGCAAATCGGGGATAGTAAGCATCGGTTAATGGATTTGGCAAGATGAGTTAGCGCTCACGTCTACTGGGCAGTTAGCAACAGAAAGTTGAACGAACATTTGGCCCACATACATCTAGTCATAGGGGATGCGCAAACAGAACGAGTGGTCAGTCATCTCCGACATCAGCAAGCCGCCTTGCATGCTTACCCCCTTTCTTCGGGAAGTTCTACGTTGCGCAATCAGCATGATCGATCCGAGGTCGATAATCGACATGTGCATACCACGCCATCACCAGAAGAGAGTGTTTCAATAGTAACGCCCATGGGTACGGGAAAGTGGAAGCAAAAGTAATGGCGTATGAGGAGAGCGGGAAGAAAGTGCAGCTGGTGGGACACGCTCGATGGACTTGGTATTTAAGCTGCGGAATAAGGGATGAGGTAAAGCCGACCAGCCGGGGTCTCAGCATGGTCGCTATTGTTGGATTCTCAATGGTACGCGGATGAATTCGCGCTGGCATCTCTCACTTGCTCCTTCAGGAGACCCATTACAGACTCCACCAAGATCGTCTTATGGATCCCAGGGCCCCCTCCAAAAATACCATGGGTCTGAAGCATCAATCACATGCAACAGATTAGAAAGTGTTCTGCTAGTTCGGGTAGGAGACCTTGCCAACTTACTGCGAACACCCCAGGATGACTGACTGCTCGTGATCGCACAACTCGCAGCCAAGCAAGGATGAGGTAATATGGCATGTATCTGGTTGTATTTGATGTGTGCGATGTTTCTCGTTCTTTCGCCCCTACAGGGGCCTAATTAATGTGGATTGAGTATGCTTATGCAATGCGACTCTATTGTTCAGTTGATCTTGAGCAATTCTATCTCGAACTTGAGGCTAGTATTCTTCGGGATGAGAGGGGGCAGTCCAGCAGCACCGTAGGTCTTCTCTCCATCAGTATTCTGACTAGAAATAGAGAGCGTCGCCGCAAGTGTGCTTACGTACTCAGGCGTGCAGGAATCGCCTTTTCACCGAGTGAGAGCAAGGGTATTCCCTCGTCCCAGCCTCCGATAACACGTCCCACCACGATCTGGACGGCGAATGGCTCGCCGCGGTCGCCAGATGAATCGATGACTGCCGTCATGGAGGAAACCTGCGGGGGAAGAGAGGTGAGCGAACAACAGGAATGGAAGGACAGAGGACATACCTCGTACTATCCTGGACGGATCGGACATGTCAATTCCTTACAAGTCTATCTAGAGGGTGTACGATCCAGTGTTCGATGTCACGTTTACCTTTTCTCCTCATCCGCCTGTTTTTCTTCCTGTTCCTCGAGCATCATCCTTTCTCATCCGTCGGCTCCTTGTCCTGCCTAGGCTTGGCCATCTCCTGGCTCTTGATCCACGTATAGTACATCGTGCCAAGCCTGTGTTAAAACCGGGTCGACGTCAGCGAGGGTCCTGGGCTATGAACGCCCTGAGACAACAGGGGAACGCACAGGATGGTGCCGATCGAGAGCAGACGGTTGCTGTCACGCGATATGAGTATGTGACAGGGTGGGACGTATGGACAGGCGCGGCTCACACGGTCAAAATATCGCCAAAGATCCAGATGCCTAGCAGTACCTGGAGGACGGAGCGCACAGCCTTTTCTAGGGTTAGCCGGGGTTTCCTGGGGAGGATGTCAAGCATACCGAGCTAAACATGTGTGTTATGGGCGATGTCACTTTGATGCTTAGCAGGCCTGCGACGCAGAGCAGATAGCCAAAGACGCCGGTCACGAGGCTTCCCCAGAGGAACGGTCTCCAGTCCCAAGGCTGTATCTGGCTGGTCACAAGTTCAAAGAGGCGAGACGCTTCCCCGTCGAAGACGATCACCGGGAGGAGCATGATTGCTGAGCCAAGGTTGGTCCAGTATGCGAGCTGGATGGCGCTGTTGTTCACATGCGGAAGGGAGGACTTGATCAACACTGCATGGACAGCGATGAATAGCGCGCTGAGGAAACCATAGAGCAGCGAGAGCCCGGAAGGTATTGCGTGGACTGGCAAAGTACGAGAGGGTACGATTC